TTCCCTTCCTATTTAACATAGGAGCTCCTTCACTACCCTTCCCTGTTTTTCTAGCTTTAACTTTTTCTCTCCAAATTTAAACTATCCTATACTTCTATTCACTTTCATTCACCACAGCTCCGACCAATTCAGGGGTTGTCTTGAGTTTCAGTTGCTGCAACAGGAACGTTCTAAATGAGCTTGCATACACTTACAAATTTTCTAAATACCACTATCGTTGCACTCCCCGCACTAATACAGCAGTAAATGCTTCTGCGGGAGCACAAGTTGCCTCCATACTGGCCCACTACACCACTGCAGCCGCAGAAATGCTCCGCAGAGTTGCACACCCAAAGCACCACTGCTACCGCAGTGAACCTCTAGCATATGCCTTATTCACCTTCATCTTTACATATCACTAAAGGCAGTATTTAACGTCCCTGCGGGAGCACTCAAAACTTACTAATATCGACTGTTTAGGTGCTCCACTTAACTATACACCCCATTAACATCACGGCAACTGTAGTGACGCTCTAGCTGAGCCCCTTTATCACTTTCATCTCTAAATATCACTGCTAATAGTACTTAGTATTTCCGTGTGAGGCGCTAATACTGAGTACCTCTGCTACTGCAGAGATGCTTTGCCGAGCCTTATTCTCCCTCTGCACCACTGCTGCAACAGTTAAGCTTTGCCTGAGCTGCAACTGCAGAGACGGCTGTTTAGCCTTAATTCTCTGCACCACTGATTTTATTGCACTTCTGTAACTGCAGAGAAGCTCTGCTGAGATTATTTTTTCCCCTGCACCAATGCTGCAGCAGTGACGCCCTGCCTGAACAGTTTTCCAACAACAGATATAAACTCTGTCATTGGTCCTCTAACACCTCTAAATCCTCAATTTGCCTCAGCCAATATTTCCTCAGAGAAGCCCAGCTGATTCTCGGTTGCAGACTTCAACCTAGTTTCCAAGCAGCACGACTCTGTCTGTTCTTCCTACTTTCCGTCTTAGTTGCATAGGACTCATTTTTACTAAACTTTCCTTTTTTATTTTATTAAACTTCCCTTCTCTTCCTCTTCATAATTTTTCAATTTCACTTGCACTCATTCTCCGCAGCTCGGACTCCCACAGGGGTAGCCCCAAGCTCCCACTGCCACAGCAGTGAAGCTCTTTAAGAGCTCACATGTACACTTTTCAAAAAAAAAAAAAAAAAAAAAAAAAAAAAAAAAAAAAAAAAAAAAATTTTACCATTATCACACTCCGCCGCAATAATACAGCCGTAAAGGCGTAGCGGGAACTCGTATTGCTTCCATACTGACTACAATTACACCTCTACAGCAGCTCCACTTAATTACATTGCATTGTAGCATCAATTTATTTTCCATCACCACACTCCCCGCAACAATATAGCCATAAAGGCTTAGCGGGAACTCGTATTGCTTACATACTGACCACCATCACACCTTTACAGCAGCTCCACTCTATTACATTGCATTGTAGTATCAATTTATTTTCCATCACCACACTCCCCGCTATAATACAGCTGTAAAGGCTTAGCGGGAACATGTATTGCTTTCACACATATAATGCACCAGACTCTGAATACCTATGCACCCCTGCAGCCACAGAGTTGCTCTACTGTGCCTGATTCCTATCTGCTACACCGCTGTTAATCAGCTCTCCAAAGCGCACTTCCCTTTAGAAACTGACTTTCACCGCACCTCTGCAGCAGCAGAGACGCTCAGCCGAGCATCACTCCCCTCTACATCACTGCCGCAGTAGTGACGCTTAGCAAGCGCATATACACTTCCACTTAGCAATCCACTACTGATACACTCTCCAGCACTGCCAAAGCAGTTAAACGTCTCTGCGGAGGCGTATTTACCTTCCAGATACTGACTTCCATTGCACCTCTGCAGCAGCAGAGACGCTCAGCCGAGCATCATTTACATCCCCTGCACCACTGCTGCAGCAGTGACGCTCTGCTGGAGCTCATGCACACTTCCATTACACTTATACCACTTCTGTCACTCCCAGCACTGCTAAAGCAGTTAAAACGCTGCTGCAGAAGCGTATTCTTCCCCTTAGGACTGACTACCACCGCACCTCTGCAGTCGCAGAGACGCTCTGCCGAGCATCACTCCCCTCCACATCACTGCCGCAGCAGTGACGCTCAGCGAGCGCATATACACTTTCATTTAGCAACCCAATACTGATACACTCTCCAGCACTGCTAAAGCAGTTAAACGTCCCTGCGGAGGCGTATTTCCCTTACAAATACTGACTTCCATTGCACCTCTGCAGCAGCAGAGACGCTCAGCCGAGCATCATTTACATCCCCTGCACCACTGCTGCAGCAGTGACGCTCTGCTGGAGCTCATGCACACTTCCATTACACTTATACCACTTCTGTCACTCCCAGCACTGCTAAAGCAGTTAAAACGCTGCTGCAGAAGCGTATTCTTCCCCTTAGTACTGACTACCATCGCACCTCTGCAGTCGCAGAGACGCTCAGCCGAGCTTCATCCCCCCTGCACCACTGCTGCAGCAGTGTCGCTCCACCGGAGCTCACACACACTACTATTTATCCATACCATTACTGACACACTCCCCATTGGACTGCCAAAGCGGTTAATCAGTTAACCGCTTCTCATCTGCAGCTACAGCTCCGCAGAACCTTACAGCTTCATTTTCCATCACTACTATACTAAACCTTTACGAAACCCACCACATATGTTTTAAACCTTTACACTTACCCCACTCACTCTCCCGCTGGTCCTTACAATTAACAGGACCCGGGGGCACACATAGTCATACATAAGCACCTTCAGTTAATTTTTACACCCACACCAGTCTCTGTTGCTCCTCCAAGCTATTTCTGTATCACTTTTCAGCAGCCGGATATGGCATTAATCTCCTGTGCCTTTTGGGGGGTTCTTCAAATACGCGGCTGCTGTCCCGAGCTGAGCATTTTGGGGAGTTGTCGAGATCTACCTGAGCTCGAGGCTCCCCTCTCTTCCTCCAAACGAGAGGGAGCCCAGGGCTCAAGAACCTTCGAGCTCAGGGCTCTCTCCCGGGACAGCATGCCAAACTTGCTTATAATCAATCATCAGCTAAGTGTGAACTCTTGAAGTGAAGTTTATTCATAAACTAATTTCGAGAGGAGCACGTGATTATGATTGAACACGGCTGGTCCTGCATTAGCATGCTTGATCCACCAATCAGGCCATTCCTAACCACTATAAAGAGCCAGGGTTTTCTCACTACAGTCATCTTCGATTTGAAGAATCCCCCCTTCCACCCCTACCTTTTCACCTTTCCCTCCATAGGGCAGCACGGTGGCTCAGTGACTAGCACTGTCGCCTCACAGCAAGAACGTCACCGGTTCTAGTTCCTTAACAGGCCGGTGGTCGTTTCTGTGTGTAGTTTGCATGTTCTTCCCGTGCTTGCGTGGGTTTTCCCCGGGTTCTCCGGTTTCCTCCCACATTTCAAAAACATGTACAACAAGTTAATCGTTAAATCTAAATTTCAATACAGGTAATCTAATAATGCAGCATATCTTTTAATAGCCTTCAATCTTAATCTTTAGCTATTATAAAAAGGGGAGTTGTCGAGATCTACCTGAGCTCGAGGCTCCCCTCTCTTCCTCCAAACGAGAGGGAGCCCAGGGCTCAAGAACCTTCGAGCTCAGGGCTCTCTCCCGGGACAGCATGCCAAACTTGCTTATAATCAATCATCAGCTAAGTGTGAACTCTTGAATGTTGGTTTAAGATATCGACATTGGATTTTAGTAACTTTCTAACACAACCTAAAATCAACTAAATATCAACGTCATTTCACGTCATTATTGAACATTAAAATAACAATGTCCTTAGACGCTGGCTATTAAACTTATGAGTTTATGATGTTGTGCCTGCTGGGCATTAACTATAAATGCACTACAGAATGTTACGTTTACACACACATTCACTAATTAGATGTTAATGCATCAGTTTTTACAGCTTAATACTCACTTCTCTTGAGTACTTTTAAAAGGGCTTTTAACTCATACTTCGAGTAATATTTATAAAAGATACTTTTACTCTACTTGCACAACATTTTGGGCAAGTAATGGTACTTTAACTTAAGTATGATTTTTCAGCACTCTTTCCACCACTGAATATCATACCACAAGACTTTTCTAGATCTCCACATGTCATAATTTGCATTGATTGGAACATTACATTATAAAACATAAGCCAAAAATCTTGCTAGGAAGAAAAAAAAAGGGCAAAATTCACCAATTATGCCCATTAATTTCACACATATAGTGCTGCCTATGTATATGCAAATCAATTCCAAAAGAATTGACCTTAAACCTGAACTGAAAGAAATGTATATATATATATATATATCCCAATCAAAAAAAGTGTTTAGGAGCATCCTTTTTTTTTAAATCAGAAAACAAATCTGACCAGATATATATGGTTATGAGGCTTGATTAACCATGCACAGCCTGAATTAGTCAAACAATGAGCATTTTCTTAAGCAGTGGACTTCACTTCTGGTCCTGAAGTACTTTAGAATGCCACATTTTGGATGTCTTTCTTATCTGACACACCCAATTAAGATATTGGGTGCATTAATGAGCTGATAATATAAATCAGATATGCTAAATAAAGAAAACATTAGCGTAATGTTAAGGATTGTGAACCAGTAGTAAAAACACTGTCTGGCTCTTTTATCATCTGTCAGAGAAAGGTCACAGTCTCCCTTCACCCACTTCCCAGCACAGATATAGGACTGAATACATAATCAGCTGTTTTGAGAAAACAATACTCATAAATAAAGAAACATATGATGCTGAAGTTGATGAAATACCTTTCATATTCATTACCCTATGGCGAAGAGTCAGTGTTTTAAATAACATGCATCACACGCCGTGTCAATGACATCATCACACGCATTCAAAACACAGAGCAGTGTGTTTAGAGACCCCGCACAAATGTTGACGCACACACAGACTCAGAATGACATGACACCTACTTTTTTGACGCGCTGAGTTGAACAAATGTCTATTTGGCAGCGTGTTTTGCTTTTATAAAGATGTCCAAATCATTCCTTTGAGCATCATACGCAGACCCCCACACACATAGGCTTCAGCAACAGGAGCGGCCCCGCACTATACTCCGAATGAGAGAAAAGATGCTCCGTTACACGCCCGATCCCGCTCACCGGTGACGGCGAGGATGCTCTTCTCCTTCAGAAAGCCGCTACGCGTCACAGTCATTTCGTTCACTGAAAACACCCCGAGACAATTCACATCCAAAACAAACATAACAGTTATCAATAATTGAGCAGATGCAGCATCCCCGTTAAACCGGGAGTTTCATCTCGGACAGCTGACGGAAGGGCAAGCCGTGAGTCGATCATTGCGCATTTACACTCATCCGGAATGCGTATGGAGCGGTGTGTGTGGAGAGGGAGAGGAGTAGTCTAGTGCTCATCCTGCCGGTCCTCCGGATGCTGCAGCGCAGTGTGATCTGGCGCGCACTGGACAGAGGAACCCTGGCACGCCCGGCGCTCTGCTGTGCTGCGGGGCGTAACTTCTCTCGTCCGAAATAATTCTCAGTGGTAATCACTGGAGAACAATTAAAGTTGCAGTGATGTATTTGGTTACGAAGAACGCTTGTGTTTTGATATTGAGCTTCGAAAACAACAGCAAAATCCTGCAGAGTTAATTAGCAAATTAACAGTCATAATTTCTAGAACTTTGCAGATTAAATCTAGTTATATTGTTACAGGCGTTTTGGTAATTGTCATTGGAAATAGGCTAATATAAGCACAAAATTTTGTAGTTAACACATGCAGAACAAACACATCATGACAACAAAATAATGCTATAATAACATAATTTTTTAATTATGACACAAATAATAAAAAGAATAATAATGACATTCCATCATTAACATATTTTTCTCGTTCTGTCTACTTATGAAACACGACTTCTTTTCCACTTTATTTTCTATCTTTTTTATTTATTTATCTTTTAAAACTCACCATCTTCTGACTTTAGTAGCTGTAGTTTGTACAGGACAGTATAGGATATTAATTGCTTAATATAATATAATAATGACTAATATAATATAATAGAATAATATAATATAATATAATATAATATAACAAATATAATATAATATAGACTAATATAATATAGACATAATATAGGCATATACATAATATAATATAATATAATATAATATAACAAATATAATATAGACTAATATAATATAGACATAATATAGGCATAGACATAATATAATATAATGAAATATAATATAATATAATATAATATAATATAATATAATATAATATAATATCAGTAATAAGAAATATAATACCAGCTTAATAATTTTTTATGATAAAGCCAAAAATTAATAATAAAAAATGCTGTTTATTTATTCTAGTGCATCTACTGATTTCTGTTTTATGAACGCAACTGTCTTTCAAAAAACTAAATTTTTTAAGCGTTGTTTATTTGTGATGGCAGAAGCACGTGCCACTCACTCACCATTGGTTGGTTGTGAGGTGGTTTACATTACAGAGACCCCTCTGCAGGAAGGAGAGAACAGAGTTGGCCAGCTGCCATCTTACGATCTCTGGACAGGTGGGGATCTCACTTTTCCTCTGAATCAGGAAAAGTCAGCCAGGTGCAAATATGGCGAGCTCTGAGATCTCCATATGTGCCATATAAATGATTAGATTTTTCGAGCATATAATTCTCAAGACTTTTGTTTTTCGTAATTCGCCAGCAACAGGGTTGTTTTCTTTTTTTAATAGGGCAGGAGGAGGAAAACGTAAGTCGAATCTATTTTTAGAACCCATTGCCTATGAGATTGGGGAGGAAAGCAAAGGAACGGATGGGGATGGAGATGATGGAAAGTAAAACAAAGGGAAATTACAACCAATCCAGCAGCAGCACTGGTGAATTGAGAGCGCGGTCTCTTTAAAGGCGGCACCTGCGCATCGGCTGCTGCTGGTGCTGATGCTGCAGTGCTCGGGTTATTCTCGGTGAAACCGTCGGGGTAACTCGCGTTCAAACGACGCCCTACATCATCCGTGCATGGCGAGCCGAGCACACAAACTCACACACACAAACACGCGGACGCTGTCGGGAGATGCTCGTTTTCACATTCACTTCTGCTTCAGGCTAACTTGATGTTATAGGGATGAAGAGGGCACATTTGCTTACCTTGCAGCCATACCTTAACTTTTGCCCCTGGTTGCAGTCTTTTCAATCTTTTTTTAGCTTAAACAGAGTGAATGAAGAGACACAAAAACATTGCATAAAGAAATTCTTAGTTTTTACTTCTAAAATCTTTATCAATAAAGTGTTTTGTCTTTTTAACTAAAAATAAGAAATGATCATTTCAGTTTTAAATTATATTTTATAGAAAATAACTATGCAAAAGGTAAATTAAAGATATACTGTAAAAAAAAAATCCTGTCAAATTTACGGTAAAAAATGGCAGCTGGTTGCCAGAAAACGTAAAAATACGGTAGAGATGTTTTTCAGTTTACAACATAATAAAGAGGACAGTAAAATTCATGTAAAAAAACTGGCAGCGGTTGCCAGAATACTGTTAAAAATATGGTAAAAATGTTTTTCAGTTTACGGTATTATTAAGAGAACTGTAAAAGCCATAAAAATAAAGACTGAGAAATATATATTTTTGCACATATAATATTAAGAGAATGCAACATGTACTATTAGTATGACCAACAGGCAAAAATGAAGTCAATACCTTTGAAACATCACAAATTAAATTCAATATAAATTGAAATTAAAGGAGCCCTTGATAATAATAATAATAATATGCAATAATAATAATCAAAATCAAAATAATGTTAAAAAAGGAACAATCATGCAATTAAATTATTAAACACTTCCATATAAATACACACATATTCCTTTAGACCATAACATTGTGATTTACTGTTTAAAATAAACAAGAAAAAAAAGGATTTTAACAGTATACATCTGTAAAAAATGGTGGCTTACTTTTTAGCGTTTCTTTGAATTTTACCATTGTTTTAAGGGTTGTTATGGTAAAATAATGTAATTTTAGCAATACAATGTTGTAAAGAGTACAAAGTTTTTAAGTATTTATATTAACAGTATTTAACTGTTAACTTACCTGAAATTTCATGTTTCATAATTTACAGTTTTTTTACCTTCATTCTTTTACAGTCTTTTACAGTGAAAACTACAGACATTTTTTACAGTGATACAAAGGGATAACGTCGACAAATGACAAATTTGACAATAAATCAAGAAGGAATCAGGCAGGCAGTGGCTCAGTGGTTAGCACTGTTGCCTCACAGCAAGTAAGTCGCTGGTTCAAGTCCAACTGGACCAGTTGGCATGTTCTTCCTGTTTTCTTGTGGGTTTTCCTCAGGGTGCTCCGGTTTCCCCCACAGTCCACCTGTAGGGCCTGAGCAGTTGAATGTTTTACATCAATTAAACAATTAAAAACAGTCCTTATTATTGAGAAGAACAAAGTTAAAAGGCATGTGGATTATCTGTTGGTGTTTCAAGTGATTTACAAAAAAAAAAAAAGTGGCCAAATTTGTATAAAATAAACTGATACTGTAATGACATTCTGACTTCTGAAAAATGTACTTTCTTGTCACAGGACAGAAAAGATGGCAATAGTACCCATGTCGCTTATGGTGGTTAATAATTAATGTTCGTTAATAAAAAATTACAAAAACTTTTAAGAGTTGAAAGAGGTCATTAAATGATAATATCAGCACATGATCCTCACCCCTTACACTGTACAGCATATTTGACATGTCATATTTCACAACACCCAAGACAGAATATTGACTTGGCCTCCAAACAATTACCACTTACAATGTTATCAAAGTTTGTCCTCAAAACAGTTCCCAGAACTGTCCATCAATGAACAGGAATATCAATTAATCCCTGCCAAAACCTTTGGCGGACCACTCCTTACCAGGAGATAAGACTTACAATAAAACTGATAATTTATGATCTGGAAATTGGCATACAAAGAAAACCCAGAATATAAATAGAGTGTGAGGTCTTTAGAGACATTCAGAAACCCCGACTAGTAGAATGGCTCTGACAGCGATCAGTCTTTTGTGCTTCACGGCTTTGCTGTGTTTCCCAGCTCTGGGACTGCCTGCGGACTCAGGTGAGTTTTTATTTTTTTTGCTGTGATATCTGCATGAAATGAGGAGAAATATTACAGATTTTAAATCTTTTTTTACCACATATATTTAAAGTAAAACATTCATTATGTTGAGATGTTGAGTTTTATTGAGACACTACACTCAACTCACGACACTTGCTGTTTGTTCAACCTAAAAAAAAATCTGTAAAACTAATTAAAAAAAATAAAAAATCTGCCTGGGTGCCGGATATAAAAAAAAAACCCCATCAAATAATGGCCGTTAAATTACAGAAATTACCGTAAAATAATGGATATTAAAATACAGAAGCTTCCTAAAATTTATATTTTCGTTAAATCTGGCACCCCAGCTATTTAAAATGATAATAAAATAAAATGATATTGTGTGAAACCCAGCATTTTTACAGTGTAATAATGCATACAAAAACAGATTGCATTATAGATTAATTCAATTATTTTTTTGTTGATTTCTATAGAGCTTTCACAATGTAGATTGTGTCAAAGCAGCTTAACAAAGAAGTTCTAGTAATATGAAACTGTTTCAGTCCAGTTTGAAGAGTTGAAGTTCGGTTTAGTTTAGATCAATGTGGTTTAAATTTAACTGCTGAAGTCCAAAAACTGAAGAGCAAATCCATCAAGTCTCAAACAAAGCAAGCCAGTGGCGACTGTGGCGAGGAACAACTTCATTACCACTAAGCAGAACTACAAACATTCTATATTACTATTTTTTTCAGGACATTTTTTGAGTATTATTTTCTCTCCCGAATAGGCAAGCTGGAAGAGATACCCGTTAAAGTGACAATAGTTAATGATTTCACCAATGAGCAACTCTCCTACTCTACCACTGTGATCCAGGAAGGCCTGATGTTTGGAGTGCTAAATCAACTGATGGAATCCAATGCAGACTTCAAGTATTCTATACATTTTTCATAAACATTCTGCTTCAATTTGCTACTTAAAAGAACTAAGTTTCTTCAACTTAATTAATTACAGAAAACAGTAATAAATTAATTTGAAACTGTAATTTTTCAATTGTAAAAGTTTTTATTATTATTATTACTTATTTTATAAGCTGATCTGATGGTTCACTTTTCACAGTGTACATAGTAATGTAAATGTAGTATAGAATAATGTACCAGATTAGCTGGTTGTGATGATTCAGATAATTAAAGTCAGTTCAAGAGTTCACACTGGCTGACGATTGATTATAAAGCAAGTTTGGCATGCTGTCCTAGGAGAGAGCCCAGAGCTCAAAAGATCCTCGAGACCAGGGCTCCCTCCCGTCTGCAGGGCGAGAGAGGAGTTTGAGCTCAGGTAGAACTCATGAACTCCCCCCTTAGGACTAATGACAGATTATAAATTGCTATAAAGAGATATACTGCTGGTTAAGAGCTTGACTTTAGTGCTAATTTAGATCAAATCACTCATGACACATTTTTTTGGACTGTGGGAGGAAACTGGAAAACACAGGGAAAACCCACACGAGCACATGGAGAGCATGTAAACTCCACACAGAAACGACAACTGGCCTGTTAAGGATTTGAATCCTTTGAACAGGATTTGTGACGTTCTTGCTGTAAGGCAACAGTGCCAACCACTGGGCCGCTGTGCCACCCGATAAAGGGAAAGGTAGAGGAGTAGGGCTGGAAGGGGGATTCTTCAAGGCGGAGATAACTAAAGAAAGAAACTCTGTTCATTTATAGTGAGTTGGGAATCATCTGATTGGTGAATCATGTGTTAGATAATGCAGGACCAGCTGTGGTCAATCATAAGCACGTGCTCCTCTCAAAATTAATTTTTAGATAAACTTTACCTACTGAATACGGTTAAGGGAAAATTTGGCACTTATAACTGCCGGGTGGTTTACAGGAAAAACAAGAGTAAGTGATGAAAGTAGTTCTGTAATAAACAATTAGTAATACATCACTGCTAGTCAGATGTTTTTATAGACAGACCTGACTCTCATTAGACCATTGTAAAAGTACTAAGTCAATTCTGTGCTAATTCTGCTACCTTCGTTTCTGTTTTACCAACAGATTCAGTTACACTATTCACCATACCTTCGGCATATATCTGGAGAGCGTGAACGGACTGGCTGGATCTGATGAGGATCAGACATACTGGGAGCTTTTGTCTGAGAAAAGCGGAGTCGTGACCCGGCTGGAAGTGGGTAAGTGATTGAAGACAGTAGCATAATATTACTGTATAATTATGAAGCAGTATATGTGATTTGAGTAATTGCATTTCTAGATTTAATTAGTATTAGATTGTACAAAATACAATTATCTCTATTGTAAATATTAATTACGCTCTCAACTGCATTAATCTTTTGCAGGAATCGGCTGCTACCAAGTTCAGAGGGATGAGAATTTGATCCTGAGGTTCACCACTTGGGCCACAAAGAAATGAATGAATTGAATTTGTAGTTTTAAAAGTTACTGCTGAATTAACACCACATCTTGTTTCAGTCATGTAATCAACAAGTTTAACTGAATAAATAAACTCATTTCATTGTGTCGAAGTAATACAGCACTAATAAATATAAACTGACAGATCTGAATCAAATCTCTGTTTGATTAAATAAATAGATCTTTATTCAGGTTTATTTATTTAACTCGCACACTCACGGTTACCTCTTCACTGTATGCTCAAAGAACAACAAGATTAGAGTTCCTCTCTGTACTAAACACAGTTAAAAGAAACAAACATCAGCATTCCAGACTACTGAGCTTTTTGAAGTCAGTGATTTATATACAGCGCTCAGATTGCATGTGACGTCTTTGCACTGGGTGGATGGAAAAATATTTGCAGAACACTTGCTACGTGCTTCAGACTACATATTTTGTACTTAAACAAGGCATTGACTGCAGATTCAAGGTAAAAATGAAAGCTACAGGGTTTTGATCCTTTTGACATGAACGATATTTACAAGAACATATTATTGACGAAAATAATTATTTACATGCAGTTTTTTTTCTCAACATTAAATAAATACCACAAAGCAAGTTCAGGGTGGCTATAATTTGTAATCGAATCCATTAGCCTCACCCATTCATCTATATAAATATGGTTATTTCTTAAATATGAGAACAGACATACTGGCAGCTTTTCCTTTTTTTCTTTTTTTGCATACACTGTTAAATAAAAGGTAAAAAAAAAAAAAAAAAAAAGAGTTTCCACAGTGGTGCCACAGAAGAAAAATTTTGGACACCCTAAAGTGAACAGTTCCTTAAAAAAATTCTTTGTATAAAATAATAAATAACCCAAAACACCTTTTCATGCAACAAAGTACATTTTGTGGCATGTAATGGTTCATTAAACCACCAATGTCAATAAAGTGTGTATAAGACCTTGACAAAGCGCAGTGTAAAGTAGATTATACTTTACAGTTGTGATATATCAAAGTACTGGTCTGGAAAAGTTATCATGGAATTTTACAAAATTTTACCGAAATCTGACTTCCAGGTTCTGAAAAATCACTGAAATGGTGATACTAATAACTACCAAGAAAAAAAAAAAACTAGTAAAATATGGAATGGAATATGGAATAAATTTCTACAGATGCTGAGCTCTGAAACACTTTTATTATAATTGGTATACATTTGGTTCTATTTAAAGTTTTTCTTTATATTTTTTGCAATTATTCTAAATATATTGTATTTCTTTTGCTGGCAAAATACATTATAAGCAGTACTGAAACATTAATATGTAAAGCTGCAATTAGAATGAGCAAACCCCCTTTGAATTAGTTTTTTTTTTTAAATATTTGCCAAATGATGTTTAACAGAGGAAGGAAATTTTCACAATATATCTGATAATTTATTTTCTTCTGGAGAAAGTCTCATTTGTTTTACTTCGACTATAATAATAGCAGTTTTAGTTAAAAAAAAAAAAAACATGTTAAGGTAAAAATTATTAGCCCCTTTAATATATATATATTTTTTGGTAGTCTACAAAACAAACCAACGTTATACAATAACTTGCCTAATTACCCTAACCTGTCTAGTTAACCCAGTTAAGCCTTTAAATGTCACTTTAAGCTGTATAGAAGTGTCTTAAAAAATATCTAGTCAAATATTATTTATTTTTCCCAGAGATGGGTTGTGGCTGGAAGGGCAACTGCTGCGTAAAAACGTGCTGAATAAGTTGGCGGTTAATTGTGCTGTGGCAAGCCCGGATTAATAATAAAGAGACTAAGCAGACAAGAAAATGAATGAATGAATATTATTTACCATCATCATAGCAAAGATAAAATAAATCAGTTATTAGAGATGAGTTATTAAATTTATTATGTTTAGAAATGTGTTGAAAAAAAAATCTTCTCTCCATTAAACAGAAATTGGGGAAAAAAATAAACAGGAGGGCTAATAATTCAGGGGGGCTAATAATTCTGACTTCAACTGTATATTATTCAAATCTAATAACATTACCAAATTCAGAGCAAAATTTAAGTAGTATTTCAAATCAGTTGTCAGCAAGTTTATGGGAAACAAAAACAAAGGATCAGCGCAATCATAATTATTGCATAATCTTTGATGAAACTGGAATGTTTTAACAGCGAGGCATGACTCAGCATTTGACTTGCACAAGGCATAGGGACAGTCAAATTGTTGTTTTTCACTTGACACCATTTCTACATTTCCTTGTTTGTAATGTTTACTTGTTTTTTTCAGTGAGCCACTCCCTGAATTTCTCAAAAATGACGTGATTTGAAAAATTGGCTCGCAAACAATATATAAAGAGCTTCTGCGGCTGTTCTAAACATTCAGAAGCACTGGGAGGACTGGTAAGATGACTCTGACAGCGATTACTCTTTTGTGCTTCGCAGCTTTGTTGCCTTTCCCAGGGCTGGGTAAAGGAGGCCACTCAGGTGAGCTTTCCTCTAAAACATGATATCTTATGAATGTGACTGAATTTTAGTCACTTTAGGTTAAAGTCCTGAGTATCATTTGTTAAGTTCGGTATTGTTGTTGAGATGATTGCTATGCACAAACTCAAGTAAATAGTGAAATCCGTTACAGTAGTATTGGTTGAAGTAACTGATATTGACTGCATTTTTTTCTAAATGGCCTTTCTCATTTTTGCTTCTGGATCAACAGGAGAGCAACATGGAGGGGTGCCAGGTCAGGTGTCCATTAATGTGGTGGTCACTAATAAATTTGCTAATGAGTTGAACACCTACCCTGTCACTGCACCAAAGGGAATGCCGATATTTGGGGTCTTAAATCAACTGCAGGACAGCAATCAGCTGAAGTACGGCACAAATTTCAACAAACATTGTAGTTTAATGCACTTCACATGCGATAATGTATACTTAGAACAAACAAAATCATGAGTGAAGGAGATTATGGGAAGGCTGTTTTCATACATCTGATCTCACAAGCTTTTTTAATCAGACTATTATAGACAGCAGTGATTATTTTATGCTTGTATTAATTCTGCTACATTTATTTCTATTAGTTTCACATACAGCATCAGCAAAAGCTATGGCATATTTCTGGAGAGTGTGAATGGACTGGCTGGATCTACGGAGAACAAAACCTACTGGGAGCTTCTGTCTAAAAGAGAAAGGAAAACAACCCGACTGAACGTGGGTAAGTGTATGAGTTTAATATAGTATCTGTGCCGCGTCATCTTATTTACAACAAAAAACACATGCTTTAAACACACAACACAAAATATAACTGAACAAAATATCCTCCTCAATCTTTTGCAGGAATTGGCTGCTACCAACCCGAGAGGAATGAGAATTTCATTATGAATTTCACCACCTGGGCCTAACCACTTCTGTTGCCGAATTTCGTTTCGCTATCGAATTCATGGTTGCAAATGAAACCCCTTTGATTTAGATATAAATGAACCAATTAATCAATAAAATAGATAACTGCAATAATCAAGTTACAAAGTAATGTATTTAATTGTATCTCCAGCATTGTAATACTCCAATAAAAGCACAGTTAGGATTAAACATGATTCTTCTGGTTTTTCCACAACTATGACTAACTAGATCCAGCTAAATAGCGCACATTATCACTAACGCTCACAGAGTTTCCTCTTCACTAGACTTATGCTCAGAGAGTAATAAGATTACAAGTCCATCTCTTTACAGAAACACATGAAAACACATAAAACTGAGATGAAAACTGCAACATCTAGACTGAATATCTGGGCTTTTGTTTTGTACTCAATGATTAACAAAGATTTGAAACATATCTCCAAAATAAAACTATATGTTGTGTCTAAATGATATTCAGAATCTTAATGCCTTAAGATTCAGTGTTGTGATTGTATGTTGTACATTCAAAAATGATTAATCAAGTAATTTCCTAAACCCTCCTAATGTCTTAGAATTCACCTTTTGAGTCAGAAATTATCTGCTTTCACAACACCTTTCAAATAAAGCAGCTGAATTTAATTTCAATCCTCAAATCTATATTGCATTAAGAAACAGTGAGGGCTCTATTTTAACGATTTTGGCCAAAGTCTAGTGTGTCCATATCCACTTTTGCTATTTTAAGGATGAAAAATACACTCTGCGCCTCGGTGCATGGTTTAACAGGGTTGTGCTTATTCTCTTAATGAGTTATGGGTGTGTTTTGAGCATAACATGCATTAAACCAATCAGAGTCTCATCTCACATCCCCTTTAAGAGTCAGTTGCATCGCACCATGGTGCATTTGCTATTTACATTTGTAAGTGGATAAACTGAATGCTTCACTAGCAAGAAAACAGTTAAACAGACTCTTTGCAGCACAAGAATAAAGAACAAGCCTCCTCCATTGGGCCTCTTTACTTTTTTGTTTACTTTTGCTCTTTACTCCTTTACTTTTGTGGAGTATGGAAACTGTGGAAACTCACTCCACTGAAGACATCCATTAGCCTACATAATTAATTTAGTTTGTTAAGCGCAAAGATTTGCTTCAAAACTATTTCTAAACTCAGATCTAATTTCCAGCAAAGTAATAAATGAGCAATATTAACGAAGTGTGTTCAAAAACATATCCAAACACATGTCCTATTCTCATGCCCCATATAGTGACACATAAGTCCCCAAAACGAATGAAATGGAAACAAATATAAATATGCATATAATAAATCATACTGCTAATAATAATAATAACAATATACAAAAGCAAATTGTCATGAATAAACAAAAGAAAAGCCCCCCGACATAAAGGCATAGATGTCGTAGTTTTTATATTATGTCAAAAAATATTTTTTTCGTAACATTTTAATTTAATTACATTAAATTAAATTTAATTTTAATTTAATATTTTCATATGTAAAGATTTTTGTGTATTGCTGTACATCCTGTGTGTATTAAGCAATGTGTAAGTGTTTAGACCTACACAGGCACATAACTAAAATGCCCTGCACTAGACTTTAGATCAGCTTTCAGTTGGTCAATGGCGTGGTCTTTTTCAGTTATTCCAAATAGCAACGCACCAACAACACACCTCCTTTATAGACCAGCACAACCATGAGTCCACAAACTGGTTCAAATGGATTTACTAATGCTTGTTAAATATTTCATCCCTGTTTAATCAGAGAGAACCACTCATGGTGAAGGGTATATTTTCTAATGCTAAATGTACCTGTATATGTATAAAATATTTAACGTTTTTACAGTATTTATAAAGGTTAAAGCAGCAGATTCTTCTTGTGTGTGAGTTTGGGAAAGTGTGTGTGTGTTGAAGTGTGCCAGTAGTTTTTAATGGTGCACATCGTATCAAATAGATCAAAGGACAGCCGTTGTGACCTAAATGTGTACAGCCCTCATGAAAATATGAAAATAGAAAATGATTCATTTTTTCTAATGTTGGGGTCATTTTAGAAAAAGTTCAACTGTTTTAAGTTTTTTTTCTGCTGTTAAACTGTTGTCCGGGTCATTTTTGTCCTACAAGCCAACAAGGGGGTAATTAACATGCTAATAACTTCATTGAGTAGAATAATAAAAACAGGTTCACCATCTTCTCTCCTGTAGACCTGAAAGAAAGAACACAAACATTGATTGTTGTTTGTTACTGCTGCATTAGTCAATATGTTTTAACTATAGCTGCAGTTTAAATGACAAACACTCACTGCAGGGAGTGAAGCAGTCACAGTCGCAGTAGTTGCAGCGTGTAAACCAGCGCTTCCAGCCTGATTCCTTAGTCCTGCAGTTCTCAATGCGACTGCATTTGTGGTTTAGAGGGACTGCGTAGCTCTTGGCATCAGGACAGGTGGATGAACATGTCCCATCAATGTCCTTCTCGTTGATTTCAACCCGACCTCGATGACACACTCCTATTGTCACATACAGCAACAGAATGACAAGAATGAGGAAATGTAACTCAAGCCATCTTTATTTCCACAGCATTTCATGCAAGATTGTGTCAAAGCAGTTGTGCAAATATAAAAAGACCAAATAGTTAAATTGATAAACAGGGACAGTGTGAAAATCATCAGTTTGAAACAAGTTCAGATCAGCAATAAGCAGTGCCATGAAAGTCAGGATTGATGTTGAATCAGATTAGTTCAATACCAATGTCACTGTTTCAGGATCAAATGCAAGGCAGCTCCAAAAACCCTAAGCAGGGGAAAAGCAACAGTGACTATAAACCCAAACTCCATCAGGTGACAGAAATAGGGAGAAAATAATCTTGTGAGAAATCAAGCTCAGTTGTGGACCAGTTCACCTCTGGCCTAAGTGAATGTAAAAGAAGAGCTGAACTTTAAATAGTACACAGCTGCCTTTCGATGGCCCCAAGAACGACGAGTGTCCATCATAACCCAGATTTTGTCCTCTAGACATTTGTTTTAATATTAGGACTAGCAGAAGATGAACAAGAACTTAATGCATGATGAATACACTTCTCATTAGCAATAATATCTAGTTGTCAGAACTTCATCCTACATGCACTGCCTTCTGGCTAATACCACCTGAAAACACATTTAAAAGAAGGTCTCATACTGGAAAAGAACAAACTGTGCAGCATTTGTAACATTTAAACACGTTGTTTTCTATTGATTGGACAAGTCTTCTCCTTGCTAACGTGATGTTAAGCGCAATAAATGCTAGAACCGTGCTAGCTATTTAGATTAAGTAAACAGTTTAGTTGGTTTATAGTAGCTCCAGTTTCCCCATGTACAGGAATCATTACATTATGCATTGTACTTTAAAAAATATAAATTAAGGCAAATTATTTATCAAATTTAGATGTGAAACCATTACCATAATTTTTTTTTAATTGGATGAATGAACATTTTATGGGAAATGTTGTTTTGATTAAATCTTTATCTTCTTGTTTTAACATAAAGAGAATTTAAATTAATTGACTTTCTTCAACAAGACAAATATGCTTTGTACCAGGTTGTTTAAAATTGTTCTCTTGGAGATAGAAAATATTGTTTAAGGCAAATTATTTATTTTTTATTGGGTCAAGTTATAAAATTTAGAAGTGAACCATTACAATAATTTTTTTATTGGATGTATGAAAGTTTTTTACAAGCACACTGGCAGTTCCTTAGCCTCCGTCCATGATTCCCAACTCCATCTCTAGCTGTTCTTGACTTATTAGGTATGAAGTCAAATAAAGTGCAATATACAGATCGTCGAGAACTGAAATCAAAGTATGGTAATGTAATTTTATTACACCAAACATGGTTTGAGCATAAACAAATCACAAAATACCAAAATAACATTTGACCAGAAAAAGGTCGGGATTTATCAATGATTAATTTTAGATAGAAAATTTTTAAAATAGTGACTTTGGATGAATGTACAATAAACCTTTTGTAAAAATCCTCCAAAACAAAATGGTCCATCTTTAAAACAGCATTACACAGACACTTTATAGCACAGGTGTCAAACGCCGCAGCTCTGCACAGTTTAGTTTCAACCATAATTAAACACAGCCAAATAAACTAATTAAGTCCTTCAGGCTTGTTTGATACCAGGTAAGTAAGTTGGAGCAGCGCTGGACCTAAACTGTGCCAGTCAGCGGCCCTCCAAACTCCAGAGTTTGATACCCCTGCTTTATAGGAAATGTGAATTTAAAGGCACATTTTACAAGTCACCTAGAGTTAATGATTTGTTTTACCATTTTTGGTCCATTCAAGTATCTCTGGGTCTAAGAGGAGCACTTTTAGCTTGGCTTAGCAGTGGTCATTGAATCAAATTAGACCATTAGCACCTCATTTAAACATGGCCAAAAGAATTTGGATATTTTCCTGTTTATAGCTTGACTCCTCTGTAGTTACATCATGTACTAAAACTGACGGAAAATGACAACTTGCTATTTTCTAGGCCGAAGAACTTTGGTTAAAAACTGTACTTTCATTCCAGTGCATTTCAGCAAACGCAATCATATTATGCAGTGCTGCTAGCTAGATTTATGCTAAGCTAAGCTAAAAGTGCACCCGCTAGACCCAGAGATCAGCTGAATGGGATTTAAAAAAGGTAAAACTGAACTATTTAACTCTGGGGGAATTGTAAAATAAGCCTATTTTCAAAAAAAAGTGGATCGATATTTTAACAAATAATGTTCTGGCAGTACAGTGTGTGGTCATTCTAAGTGATTTTTTTTGTTACGACCTCTCATACTGACTTTAGCTAGTGTTGAATTACTCATACACTCACCGTCCCTTTTATTAGGTACAACTCATTAATACCGGGTTGGACTCCTTTTTGCCTTCAGAACTGCCTTAATTCTTCGTGGCAGAGATTCAACAAGGTACTGGAAATATTTTTCAGAGATTTGGTCCATATAGACAAGATAGCATCATGCACTTGCTGCAGATTTGTCGGCTGCACAAGTGCACATCCATGATGCAAATCTCAAGTTCCACCACATCCCAAAGGTGCTCTATTGGATTGAGATCTGTTGACTGTGAAGGCCATTTAAGTACAGTGAACTCATGTTCAAGAAACCAGTCTGAGAAGATTCATGCTTTATGAGATGGTGCGTTATCCTGCTGAAAGCAGCCATCAGAAGATGAGTACACTGTGGTCATAAAGGGATGAACATGGTCAGCAACAATACTCAGGTAGGCTGTGGTGTTGACACGATGCTCAATTGGTACTAATGGGCCCAAAGTGTGGCAAGAATATATCCCCCACATCATTACACCACCACCACCAGCCTGAACAGTTGATACAAGGAAGGATGGATCCATGCTTTCATGTTGTTGACACCAAATTCTGACTCTACCATCTGAATATCACAGCAGAAATTGAGACTCATCAGAACAAGCAATGTTTTCCAATCATCTATTTCCCAATTTTGGTGAGCCTGTGTGAATTGTACCCTCAGATTCCTGTTCTTAACTGACAGGAGTGGCACCTGGTGTGGTCTGCTGCTGCTGTAGCCCATTCGCCGCAAGGTTCAATGTGCTGTGCATTCAGAGATGCTCTTCTGCATACCTCGGTTGTAACGAGTGGTTATTTGAGTTACTGTTGCCTTTCCATCAGCTCGAACCAGGCTGGCCATTATCCTCTGACATCAACAAGGCATTTGCACTCACAGAAGAGCCACTCACTGGATATTTTCTCTTTTTCTAACCATTCGCTGTAACCATAGAGATGGTTGTGTGTGAAAATCCCAGTAGATCAGCAGTTTCTGAAATACTCAGACCAGCCCATCTGGTGCCAACAAACATGCCACATTCAAAGTCACTTAAATCCCCTTCCTTCCACATTCTGATGCTCATATTGAAATGCAGCAGATCATCTTGACCATGTCTACATGCCTAAATGCATTGAGTTGCTGTCATGAGATTGGCTGATTAGAAATATGTGTTAACGAGCAGTTAGACAAGTGTACCTAATAAAGTGGCTGGTAAGTGTACACAGAATTGCTAAAATACAACACTTGAGACAAATCCATAGTCGCATTCATCAGCATTTTCCTGTTCCCTGCACTTTCCTTTATTTGTGTGCGACATTCGGCCAAAAAAGGACTTACTTAGGCAGGATGGTTTAGGCGTCCATTTTCCATTAGACTGGCAGGCTCGAGCAGGATCTCCCACCAAAACGAATCCAGGCCGGCAGTCGTAACGCACCACAGATCCGACCCACCAATCACTCCCATAAACAATCCCATTAAAGTCAACATCAGGCTTCCCACAATTCACTAGGGCAATAAAAACAGCATATTAAAGCATACCAATACTCATAACATGGTCTGTACGGGAAAAATGTCTATAATGATAGCAACAAAAAATATATTAAAACAAAGTACCTCTACAGAGGGATTTGTATCCCACCCAGCAGCAGTCTGAATCTCCACAGTTGTCCCTCTTCAGCTCCATATGTCTGCCTTTACACCCTCCAAAGCAGATCGGGGCTGTCCCAGACCAGTAAGTGTCCGCCAGTTCATCCTCCTGTTCCACTTCTAACAGACCTGAGGAGCACAGAGCAATCTCAGGAGCTCAAATCCATGCATCCTCTACCAATTTTCAATGTACTATAGCCTATTTATCTTTTTCAATTTGATAGCAGCTTAGTTTAGATATTCATCATCTTACCACTTCCTTGGCCTTCCTCCACAAGCGATCTTTCAGTAAATGCAGTTATAGGAAGTTGTGCAAAGACATGTTGCAAAAAATCCAAAAGCAGCAACAGGAAAACTCCTAGTTTCATGGTGGATTGCCTGGAAAAATCTTTCTCGTTTGCAGAAAAGGTTAATATCTATTCAGTTTAATCCCTGATTCTGATTGTTTCAGATATCACTATGAAGAATATATTGTTCAGTGGGAGTTTCAAAGCACCTGTTTTCTTGCAGAGCGAGACAGATGGAAAGAAAGGGGAAGTGTTGCATCGTAGCTTACAGTAAGCCTTTAACGCAAACTAATCTTTTAAACACACCAGCACAGCAGAGAGAAACAGATTATAGAGAAAGGAAGAGAGCCATGTGAAGTCCGAATTAGTTTAGCTAAACTTTCAGTTGTCCTGATTGTAAATTTCATGTTTCTCGCATTTAACAGTTACTTTTTGTCTGATTTGTTTCCCGATAGGCAGAGTGTGTGGTGTGCTTGGGATCTGCAGTGCGTGTAATTACTGTAAGGATATAGATTTGTGAAAAGCGCTCAAACACTGACCTCTGACTGCTGCAGTAATGCATAAACTTCTGCCTAACCCAGCACAACACACCTGCTGACTCCTGTCCAGAGAGATTCAAACACACAAGACTAACACGAAAGCAATCCTGCAGACACACACAGGACCAGTAATTACCACAATCATACACAAATATTTACTACAGATTAAATGTTTAGAGCCTGTAAAAGAGAAGAAGTCTTAAAAGCACACCAAGGCTACATTTATTTGTTTAAAAAGAAAATCCTATTAATGGTATATTTTAAATTGAACTTTTTTAAATTGAATGTTTCAGCAGTCTTTACTCCACATCACTCTTCAGATTTCATTCTTATATGCTGACTTGGAGGTAAATAAATATTTAGTATACTAATATCAATGTCAGAAACATCTGCTACTTTTTTTTCTTGTTGTTGTAGAAAGCGTAATACATTTTCTAGGGTTCATAGAAAGTTATAAACAAAATCGTTTATTCTTCAGTGACTGTGAAGCTCAAAACATTCAATGACTATTATAATTATGATAGATAAATAAACAAAATTATTTTCTTATTAACCCCAAACCTTTGAACAGCAAGGTAAACAAAACATGTAAACAAAAAAGGGACAAAAAGTGTACTGAAATATCTGCCTTTGTTTATTTCAAATGAAATTTGGTCATGTAGTATCGTCAGTGAATTTTTGGTTCCCTATTAGACTTAGTACTCAATAGCATATACAATGAAAAAGTTTAACAATATAGAAAGTAGCCAAAACTATTTTAGAGGCAGTAAAATGTTAAAGGAACATTACTTTTAATTCAATAAAAAGTGCTAGGAACTGGAATCATCCACCATAATGTGCTTTCCTTCAAAAATACAAACCGCAAAAAAACTGACCTCGATATAAAGCTGAAAAATAAATTAAACAGGCATGGTGGTCAGTTTAAAGATCAAAAGCACTTCCAGTACAACTTCACAACAAGCAATTCACCATGTACTGTATAAAACTATACACAATAAAGAGTTCTCCACAGAGATCCATCCTGAAATCTTCACATTGAGACTGAACCTGCAGAGCTAAAGAAAGGTGATTAAGCTGTTCAGCAGGATTAAACATTTCCATTCACCTTTCCTTTTTCTCACATGTAAAGGGATAGTTAGGCCCAAAATGAAAATTGTCATTTAATCACCCCATATTAAGTATTTCAACCCTTTATTTTCCTTCTTCCGTGAAACACAATCACAACGTGACCTTTATGGTGGGTTTTCCCGTTCAAGGAAACTGGTTTATTCTTCCAAAACGGTAAAACACAAATACTTGCATTAGCATACAATTCATTTGTATTTTATCTGTATTATCTTTAATTGTGCTTTATGTTGTGTTTGAAAGATGGCAGTCTAAATTACCATTAATTTTCACTGAATGGAAAAGACAGCTCATTTGTGCTTCACAAAAGACTAAATAATATGGTTTGAAACGTGAGTGAGAAAATGATTTTGAACAAACTATCCCTTTAAATGGATAAAAATTTAATTCTATCATAGTCTACTTACTCTCAGGTAGTTCCAATCCTGCATGCATTTATCTTGTTTACTTGTGAACACAAAGGAAGTTATTTGGAAGAGTGTCAAAGAAACACCCATTTACTCCCATAGTATTTATTTTTCTAATTATATAGCAGTAAATGGATGGTGAGATCTGTTTGATTATTATCTATTGTGTTCAGCACAATAAAAGCAATGAACTGGAACAACCTAATGGTCAGAAACTATGGTAGAATTTTTCATTTTGGAATAAACTATTCCTTTAATCACCTTCTCAGAGCTTTACATGTTCTGTCCAGTGCTGTGTTCAATGTGCTTGAAGATGAAAGCTTCCTCAAACACACACTATTCCAGCATTGGTCCCCTGTTTGCCTCATAAGTACAGTAAGTCGTGTCACAGATTTAACTGTAATGTCCTGACGTCCCTCTCTGTTGACATCTTGAGTTCCAGGTGCAGTTAAACCACCTCCATGCCCAGCTGTTGGGCAGTGTCCTGCAGCTGCAGCATCACTGAGCCCTCTCTTATAGAGTCTGCTTGTGAAGAGGTGCCAGCAGTTAAAACCAAAAACACACTTTCTGAATTATCCTGTGTCCTACAGACCTCCGTTTCATCCTTCCTTGATTTTGCTTCTGTAATGGCACTGAAGGGCTCTGGGGTCTCCTCTAGCTCCTCACCAGGATGGACATTCTGCTGGCTGGACTCGCTGCCGTCCCCATCCCCCTGACGCTCCCGAATCAGCTGCTCCGTGAGCTCCACACTCTCATAGCGGATCAGCTGCAGACGCATGAACCCATCTTCATGCTCTTTATACCTGAATGGAGAGAGATCTTAGGCCATGTTCACTACTAATTGGTATTTAAATATCCCGTAAGAAAAAATTAAATTATAATATATGCATTTTTTTTTTTTAAAACACTTTTTTTTTTTACTGGGAGGAGCTACTCCATGTCCCGCCCTCTCTACATTTTTTAGCTAAGATTATTTTTAACATATAATAATAAAAAATGCACATTTCGAAACACTTTACGAGACCTTTATGATGTGTTTTTGTTGATCAGATCAGAAGTAGGCAAGGTAGCCACATTCACATGTCTCTTTGTACAACTTTGCTGATTTCTTGTCAGAGGGAGGGTCTACAATAGGGCTGTGCCGTTTAAAGAAAATATCTAATTGCGATTTATTTGACAAATAATGCGATTGCGATTGTAATTTGCGATTTAATTTTGAAGTGAAGGTTCAGCTCAATAATCCATAGCTTCTTACTGCTAAAATGCAGTGAGAGAATGTATGGGCAGGACAGTCACTTTGATGTTGTTTTCTCTTCTGGCTGCATGACATTTTCAGTCTCACATTATTTCTATTTCCTCTAAAAGTCTTGATAACACCATTATAAAGTTTTTCTTTTATTATTTAAGCAAATAGGAATTAAAAAAAATATTTGTTGTATTCTCCAATTTTCTACGCTCTAGGTTTACACAATTATGACGACTACTGCTGCTGAGAAACCCAGAAATGTGAAAAGTGAAAAGGGTCCATTAATACTAGTAATAATAACCAATGATCACTAGATTTCCATTACAAGAGGAAGTTAGATTTTATAATACATTAAAGTAGAAATGGCTATATTAAATTACCCTTAGATTAACAACAGTAGCGCTTCTTACTTCATTCAAATCTAAATAAACATCCTTCTTTTAGAAACCGAAAGGAAATCAGTAGGGAAAAATCTACTTAAAGTAAGATACACATGCCCTAAAAAAACATATAAAGACATAAAACTAACAAAAGCGTTAACAATAGCATTGAGTGTTTTGCTACTAAAGTGGTGGCCAGGCCAGAATGAGCTGGAACGCGAGACGGTGATGATCAGACAATAGAAGATAAGAGAACAAGGAAGTTGGAAGTCTTCATACCTGAACCTGGGATGTCCTGAAGGCCATTTGAACTGATGTCTCTTGCGTAAGTGGGCTGTGAGGTTATTCCCTCGGGTGAAACACTGCTCACAAACATGACACTTATAGCGGGGAGTGTAGTCTCCCTAAAGACAAAACAGCATAAAAAACATTCTATTTATTTTGGAAAAAAAAAAATATATATATATAATAATATTAACACATTAATCGAGGGCACATTAGGTTAAAAGTGATAAAAAAATACATGTATCATGTTACAAACATGATTTGGCCTTGTTTCCACTAGATAAACCCATGTTTTCAGTGATCTAATTAGTGATTAACAGAGATGCAGAATTTTCAGTTCTACCCGATTATAATGTGGATTCAAGTGTATCTTTTGTAAACACTTGTGCTTGGATTTGATCATGAGCTGAATGCAAATGATGAGATGATTACAGTACAACTGTAATTATGTAAAAGTGATGTAGATGCAGAGTGCTTACATCCTTTCACACGAGTTTTCCACCTTTTATTTTTATCACCACATTAATGACTAAAATTTATCACCACATTAATGACTTGGATCAAACATTAGAGCTTATCTTTCCTGCTAATGATTAATACTTAAATTGCAGGCTTTAAAACCTGCTGTTTTATTCTTAATGAATCACTTTGTAAAATAACACAGATGTACACATATATTTAATACATTTGTTTGTTAAAAAAATAAACAAACATAAATAAACTTTCCTATTAATTCTAAACTTAAATGTATTGGTTTTATTTTCAGCACTCTTTACACCATATGACTCCAAATCATATGGTGTATGAAATAAAAACTGTTGCACACAAAGGAAAGCTGAAAACATGTAACCATTGACTTACATAGTAGAAAAAATAAATACTATAGAAGTTAATGGATACAGTTTCATTCAAAGTATATTCTTTTGTGTTCAATGGAAGAAAAAAAATCTCATAAATGTTTGAAACAAGTAAAAGGAGAGTCATTGATGACAGAATTTTCCATTTTGGTTGGACTCTTGGTTGATCTCTTTAATATGCGTGTAAGCCCTAGACATAAAGGTAATATTTATAATCAGTTTTGATTGTTTTTATTGCTATATTAGCAAACTTAGACTCATGACAAAAACTAAAAACAGCATATTCATGGTAAAACTTAAAAAGTTCCTCCGAAGCTGTACACCCAACTATTTTCTGCTTTATCACAAATGATGTTACTTTACCATGTTATCATCTGTTTGTTATTGACTTATTATAGGGCATTATTTAGACCTGCTCACCTCATGAGCACGTTTGTAGTGGTTCTTGATGGAGTAAAAGGAGCGGGTGGAGTAGTCACAATCAGGGAAATCACAACGATATGCTGGCTCACTGCTATGTGTGTCTAAATGCTTCCTCAAGTCTATCAGGTTTTTACAGCTGGGAACAGCAAGAACAAACAAAATGACACATCATTCTTTGCAAACCGGTCTTACATGACAGGGCACAGTATTTAAAATATCCAGAAATGATGAGTCATTGTCAAAAGTAATGACCTGTGCGCACCTGTACTCGCAGTAGTCACAGCTGTAAGGCTTCTCGTTGGAATGACGAAACTTGATGTGGTTTCTCAACGAGGACGGCGATGGACAGGTCATTTCGCATAGTGGACATTTATAATGGTTGACTTTAATCAAGAGAA